TGACGAATTTTCTGGCCATATTTGTGATACTGTCATGGATGATCCCATCATCGATGTTGGTCAAGAATATTGTCTACGAGAAAGAGATGCGTCTGAAGGAGATGATGCGAATTATGGGTTTGGGTGATGCGGTGCATTGGCTTGCCTGGGCCGCGCAATCGTTCACGCTGAATCTGGTATCGATCATCGTCATTTCAGTGCTTTTGAAGGTTAGTAGTTGTAGTGAGAGAAGTTTTTCTTTGAACGTGTTTCGTCCATCCCGTCAGTGCGTTCATTTTGATTGTATTTGGTCGATAGTTTTCAAGTGTATGGACGACAAGACCGTGGCCAGTCGCCTTTTGTCAAGGTGGGGTGAAGCAACTGTTTACGGGTTTATTTCGCCAGATCAATAACGTTATGAAGTATTTTCACTGGCCGTCTATGTGGTTCTACTAGATAATTTCTGGGTGGCAACAGCGTGCCCGGTTAGCTCAGTCGGTAGAGCACCAGACTCTTAATCTGGCTGTCGCGGGTTCGAGCCCCGCATCGGNGTTTTATTGGTTTCACATTTTTCTCGAATAATTGCACTAAACTGAACGCGAGAAATTTTGTTCTAATAATGTTTTTCAATTCGTTTGCGTATGATTTGGCTAATGGCTAAAGATTTTCGTGAACAAGACGGCGATAATGTGAAAATTTTGCTTGTTTCAGTACGGACAGATAATGCCCGATACAGATCTGACCTTATTGATGGTGTTTTTCACGCTGTTCGCAATTGCCTCAATCACGCAATGTGTTTTCTTCTCGACACTTTTCTCACGCGCCAACATTGCGACTGCATCCTCAGCCATTCTATTCTACGTATTGTTTTTTCCGTATCAAATTTCCGCTCGAACCGGCTCATATACATTCACACTGATAACGGTGAGTGGTTTTACGTTTTTGCTGTGAAATTTTTGATTTTGATTTGATTTTGGAATTTTTGTTTCTTTTCCGCAATTTGTTCTCAATTTTCGTTTCATTTGTCCGTTTCATGTTGAAAAATGAAAGGAGAACAGAGAGAGAGAGTATGGTGATGAGACGACATTCATTGAGAATATAGTTGATTTTGCGAATAAATTTATGGCTTAACAACAGGAATGTTTTGGTAGATTCTCAGAGAATGTTGGCATCAGTAA